GGGCGCACCCCGTGGGGTGGCGCGCCCGGCCGCTCGTGGAGTGGCCCGAGGCAAGGGGGCAAGTTTACAAGGTATGTGTACTGTTTTACAATGTTTGAGTTGAAAACAATAATCAATCTTGGATTTTATTATTGAAAAAGAATGCTTGTAAAATACCACGCTCAGTGTATGTAGAATTATCACATCCGACCTGATCACCGTAGTTCGGAAACTATTAATATCAAAATTGCTGAGAATTTTGAAAAATAATGCATAAATAAAACTAACAACATTTTTTTTTTCTGAGTTAAAAATACCATACGGTTTTTGTTGCAGAGCTTGGTGCTATCAATTTTTCTTTATGCGTTACGGGTGTTAAAAATATAGTTAAATATCAAATATGTATGTATAAGAAATTGGGGAGACGGCAAGTTCAAGATAATGCACAGAAGATACGCATTAAAAAATGTTTAGAATGTGCGGAAGGGTTCCAAAATTTTTTTATGCGAGCAATTTTGGGTATCTTTTGTAAAATTGTTTTTGTCTTGTTAATTTATTAATAAATAAAGTTTTGTCTTATTATTATATACGCTTGATAAAACTCTAATAAACTACTTAAAAATTTCAATGTTCCGCACATTTACATATTAATTCCTCGTTAATGCAGATTTACATACATGGTGTTCAATAATAAACCTACAAACTCTTGCTGGTAGAGGTCATCAAGGCCAAAATTTTTGTTTGTGCGCATGAGCCCCCTTAAAGAAATTGTTTTTTTTAAGAGGCTGTCAAAGTTTGTTTATGGCCAAATTAGGCTTTTTTTGAATTAATTACAATTGATACAGTGTACATGATAATTGATACATATTTTTACAAGTGTGCTCATAAAACCATTGGGCAGGAGCTTTCGAGTCAAGGGGGGTCAAGTAGTACAAATTCAGTCTTTTGTTGTCTATGAAATTAGAAAAATTATCGTTATATCATTATAAACCCAGCGCAAGGGGGGGTCATGACCCCCATGATCCCCCCTGGATCCGCCTTTGCCGTTGGGTTAGTTTAGTGTGTACAAAAAGTAACAGTCGGTAGTTTTTTGAAATTTCCATAGGGTTGCAAATCAACAGTTCGAACAATTCTAAACTGCAATTAGTAATTTTCTTACTATCTAATAATTGATAATATAGATACAATTTGTCTCGAAAACAAATCTCATGCTCCTGGATAATTGATTCTATATCAATTATCCAGTTATCCTGTTTTGTCATGACCAAACACCATGCTCAGGAACTTAGCAACAAACTGAAAATTTGATTTAAATGTGTCACTCATTCATTTCAAGCGTCTCACATATAAAAATTATTTTTTACATGTTAACTTTATGTTTCGCAAAAACTTTGACTGAGACCCAAGAAAGATAAGAATATAATAATTTAAATGTAAAGTAGACGTTTGTCGGACTTCTGGAGCAACCCTCCAGGTACTATTTATAGGACTACTTCAGATCTCCAAAACTTTTTTTTATCTACGCTGTATATATGTAGCAGCATTATTGATTCGCTTTTTGGCAATCGTAAAAAGTTCGGAACACCTTTTGATCTGCACTAAACGACCTAAAAGCGTTTTGAAATTTTTTCCAACGTTGCAAGTTTAGTGGTGCACAGACAAATGGATTTACAGAAAAAACTCAATAATGCAACATTCGGAAATGATAAATCATAATCATAGGTCATATTAAAATCTACGCCTTTAGAAATAGATCGATTTAATTAAAATGAAGCAATTAGGTTCGTAGTGTTAGAACTGATCCAGATTATTGTATGTTACCTTTATTGCTATTAACGTAATCCCTTTATCCTTTTCCAGTGGCTTGTATGTCGGTTGGTTAGATCATTCCATCCCAGTCCCTACTCCTTGTTCAGTTTAGCTGTTTTTTCCCCACAGAAGTGATTTTTTTGTTGGAATGCAGCATGTATGTTTCCCATTATTTAAAAAAACCATGCAAATATGGTTTCACAACCAAACAAATCTATCTGCTTTTTTGATAAACCACCAGTCATACTGGACTGAATGAACAATGGCATTTTAGGTTCATAAATATTTACGCTTGCAATTCGTTTATATATAAACACCATGTTCAAAGTATTATTGGATTATCTACTGTGTTCAACGCAAGATTTTATTTAAAAAACTCTATACTAATATGCGAATATTTAGTTGATTTCGACAAGCATGCTTTAACATGAAAAATTGGATTATCCTTTAAAAATATGTTTCATTCAATATAAGATGCGTTTGATTATTATATTTTATCGACATGCGTTTTTAATTTTTTTATACAGGTCGTGTCTTTTAAAGTATCACTTACTTTGACTTTTACTATGACCCAATTGTTCAATATAAAAGGACCCGTATGAGATTGTTCATGTGCAATTCAACTTTCAGCGTTGTAAGACGTTGTCTCTGAAATATGTGGTATACAGGAGGTGCAATATAAAATGCCTATTAGTCATATTTGAGTTAATTTGGTTGGGCTATAGAACGGGCAAGATTTTATAAGGCTCAACCTGTATGAACGTCTAAGACTTTCGTTTTTTCAATTGTAAATTAATCGGAAAATTACCACAAAAAATTGAATATCCAACGGGGACAAGGGCACCTTTTAACTATTTATTTAAATAATTTTTATATATAACTTTCACAACTCGCAGATCTAAAAAAATTACTAAAAACCGACCAAGTTGAGAGCTAATGTTCAAGACTAGTTACAACAAAAAACGACCGATAGCACAAATGGGACATTCCATGATCAATAACAAAACATTTAAATTGAGCTTTGAGCTAGCAACAAATATACAGGCCAGTAGAAATTGAAAAGGAGATCATTAAAGTGTCAACTATTTGAATAATAGTGAACTTAAAATGTCAGTGTTATTCATTGTGAATCTCAAATGATTTATTGGTTGTGATTCCTATGAATTGTGATGTATACAGAGTGGCGGTTTTTCTACTTTATTAATTATTGTTATGGAGGAACGGCCTTTTTTATGGCAAGTTTCTTTAATATTTCGTCAAAACACCAACAGAAGCGATGCCTGTCTGTTAGATCTGGACGCACCAGTAGAACTCGTACAGCACTTGTACAACCTGCAAAATTAGCACTGATCTGAGCAGAGAACTTTAAAATAATGCGAAAAAAACTAGCACTCTCTATATGCACAAGTCATGTTGCTGTTTCCAAATATGCATATAAGTGAAAATATGTCTTAATAATTTTGTTAATTATTTCAGCAGGTAAACGGAAGTTTGATGGGGGTCACCAAAATCAAGGGGAGACAAAGCGACGCTTCCAGAGCGGCGGTGGGCAAGGGGGTTGGGGCGGCCAGCCTTTGGCACAACAGCCCCTAAACGGCGATCAATGGTACCAAGACTCGTACGGAGCATGGAGCTAAACGGTGCACGGCGCGTGCATGTGGCTGTTGAGTGAGAGCAAGTATGAATGCGAGTGGCTGGGCGCCGTTCAGCTACAGATTGGGCGAATATTATTGGCACGAGAAGGCAAGATATTTGTTCGGTCAGTTCAGTCACAGGAAACACTTCAGATATTTTGAATCAACAGTTTACCAAAACTGTATCCAAATATGTCTCTCTCTCGATCAGTCGACATCAAATTTTATAGGGATAATTTTAAAAACACACTAATTGATTATTTTTGAAATGTTTTTCCAAATGCCATGTCGACTATGTTGTTGCTAATTACTAGTTTTTATTCAATTTACAATCAAAATGTTAACTCAAGACTTCACAGCGTGTCAAATGTTCGCCCATACCGTTTTATGTCTCCGATACCAGGCCAAGTCGCGGTGTCCCCAAACTGCTATTACTAATAACAATTGTATTAATTTCTTGCGAAAATTGCCTTATCTGCATTTCGAATTGTGTTTTCAGAAATTTGTTATTTTGCGGTTCTAAATTTGTTATATACTATGGTTAATTACGTACTATTAAATTGTATGAGTTGATTTATGTTTTCTTTTGTGTATTTAAGCGCTCTCATGGGCATAGCGTTATGGTCCAAGTTGTTCTTGGCACTTGTTTTTATTACTTGATTTGCCATATTCGAACTCCATCAAGAAATTCAATGCCACTACTCAGTGTGCTTCAATATGTTCAAAAATATTTATAATTTGTCTCGTAAATTAAACATTGCTGTGTAAGAGAATCGAATAGACACTGTTAATTTATGCATAGTATATTTACATTTTGTATTTACTCAATTTCATTTCAATATCATGATAAAAAATTATCATTTTATTATCATAACAATTAGAGTAATCATTGCGAAATTTGTGTAATTATTTAGAAACTGATTTAAATATCTACATAATTTAACAGTGAACGGCTCTAACAAATTATTTAAATTATAGTGGGTTGAAGACACTGTATTTTCAAGATAGTACGAGTGTTTTTTTTATTGTGTATGATATAATTTTATATATTTTATCTTGGTGATGCATTTTTGCATTGTGATGATCGTATTTTAGCAGTAATTCTAAGATGTCCTGACATGTACTTCTGTTTCTCCCCACATTTCAACCACAAAATCCGCAAATATTTCGGATACCCCCTTCCGTAAATGCTTAGATAAATCCAGACGTGGCCCGGAATTTCAGATAGAACAGCTAAAACCTTCAGTAATTGCAATTCTAGTATATTTTAATCATGTTTACTTTGGTTTGTATTGTCCGTATATTATTGCTTTTATTACTTTTCGCCTGATATTCACAGACACCTGTGTTAGCGGTAAACTTTCATATTTAATTCTAATTAATAATTTTTTGTTTTAGTGTGACGTAGCTAATATTTACTATTTTTGCCTGATACAGGATATGACATAGTTACACTTTTTTTGCAATTTACTACAATCACAAAACCATACCACTGTGAGAAAGACATGGGCGATCGTATCGTGTGCTGCCCTGTATGTGTAGTTTCTTGGTAATATTAGTCAGATTCAACGGTGCACTGCATTGTTATTCAACTTGTATCAATAATTTTAACAAGATGACTGATGGTTTAATATGTCTCAATAAACAGTTGTATGTGTATTACAATTTCAATTTTAGTTTTATTACCTTTCGTAAACACTCCTGGAAAAATTATGTACTGTGCGTATTATTATTAAACTTACCATAGAGATTCAAGGAGTTCATTTTTGAACTATTCTGAAATAGATCCTTCTTTGATTTTTCAAAATTCCGTTTTGTATCGAAGATGCGGAAATTCTGCACAAATTGATTTCGAAAGTTATTTTATTATTATTTTAATATGAAAAGACAATTAATTTCGTTATGTGGCTGCAAGTGACTACATTCTTAGTTATAAATAAATGTATTAAAAATGTTTTTAGTCTCCAGTGCCTCGCAAATAGGTGAAAGAGCGTACTTTTTTCAGCTGCAGATTTAATATATATAAAAACATTTGAGAAATGAGTGTAAAAACTAGCATTATTGTACCGAAGCTAATGGGTACTTACGACAAAAAATAACGCAAGGTTTCTTAATGATTTCTTTTTGTGCAACTTATCTTCAGTTAAACATGGAAAAAAGAAGTTAAAGCGCCTGCTTCTTCAGTGATCAATGCCGCAGGAAGATATACTAAACACAGCGCTCGATGTATTATAAAGATGATATTTTAGGATGCGCTGTATATGTAATTTAACTCATATATATCTGATATCTGATTTTTAACTAGTGTTAAGTGTCATTTAATTTATCACATAACTTATTATTTTAACGCTCTATTACTTTTTCGCAAATACATTTAGACCGTTTATCGACATTTTACTGTAACATATTACCGAAAAATTAGGCCGATGAAATGTCTCAAAAATAGTAAGTTTAATTTATTTTTTGTGTTTATTACGTTCAGACCTAGTTGTGAGGGTAAACGTTTCTCTAATTCTGCAAATATCTGCGAAAATTGATCCTAAGTGATGTTTGCATCTTATTACTTCCCTATCAGTCTTCTAACGGACTATACCGAAGCCAATTTGTAAGTTTCTAAGTTACAGATTTGTTGAAAAATAGCGCAAAACGAATACCAAATTTCGTCACTGTGTTTGCAAAATTATGAACTTTCTGATAAGCCATGCTGGCGTAATTGACCATCATTAAACGGCCAATTTCTTCAGCGATTAAATTTTTCACTGTATATTTTAAGCTTTTTGAGATAAACGAAATTCTTGTTAATCGGAAAAGAATAAATAAATAGATAATTTTATGTAGTCATATGCCGATAAACTCTTGGTTTCCGAGATACAGGGTGTTGAAATTATAGTGATTATTTTGGTTTTCCGGTTCAAGTCTTGTATTTTTTGAGTATTTTTTCACATTTGGAAGGCAGGCTCGTTTTGCGATTGTACAGAGAGGTACATATTTTTTAAGGTGCGCCACAGAATTTTAGCAGCTTTTTTTTTAACCCACTTAGAGAAACCTTCTTGTCTCTTGTGCGTTCAACATATCTACCCCCTTTTTCAGTTATTTGATAAAATATTAATTTTTTGTTAGCAGTGTAGTTTGTTATTAAAAAGTTATTAACTATTAATTTTTATTTAATCAAAATACTTTCGTAGATTCGACACGCGGTATTTTCGAAACTACGGGTTGCAATCATAAAAATGTTTTCTGTATTTTCCTATCACATCTTATTCTAGCTGTTGAAACGTGAAGCATCTTATGAATGCTCATAGAGTAGAGACGGGATGGAACTGTGCTTATTATCATAGACTATTTACAAACAAATATCTGTTCTTGACATTTTTTAAAGCGATTCTTGATACATTGGTGGACTGGACTAAATTACTAGTTGTAAAGGGCTGTAAAGGGCTCACAAATTGTAAAACAAAGTGTGTAACGCCAGAGACTACTAATCTCTGGTAACGCATGCTGTTGCACAATAATTTTCTAATGTTTGGTAGTGTTTTATGTCCACTATTATTCAATTTATTAATACAAAACTATCGAAAAAAAAACAGATAGGACGCAGATAAGGGCTAGGGAGAAAAGAGATAAAAATTCTTTGGTATGTGGGCCACGCAATTCTGATCTCGGATACTGAAAATAACCTATGGTGCTTGGTGCATACCTTTAAAACAACGACATAAATTTACAATATGCAGATATCAACATCTAAGACCAAATCGCTCGTAGTAGCAAGGGATCCCAGACGATGCAAAATCGTAATTAACGAAGAAGCAATCGAAGAAGTTTCCAAGTTCGAATATCTGGGAATAGAAATATCCATCTGCGGAGATCTAAAAGAAAGTCTACGAAAGCAGGCTAATAAAGCAGCTTAGGTACCAGGATGTTCAAGGGGTGTTAGCTGGAGGGATAGAGATGTGAGGCTGGACGGCAAAATAGGGGTACATAAGTCATGTGTAAGGTCAATACTAACATATTCAATAGAAACGAGAGCTGAATCAGCAGAAGCCAAAATAATACTTACAACAACCGAAATGAAAACATTAAGATCAATTCCAAATCAAAATTAATTCCTGGGTTTCAGTCATTTATTGTCCCTATTTATCAATTAAAATACGTTTCGGTGTATTTTTCCACCATCATCAGTTTTTCTAAAATAACAGATAGTTATAAAAAATTTCATTAATTTAAAAAACAACCACAGTTCGTCAACAGCCTCATCATATCACACATTAAAATACATCACAATTGCAATACTTTAAAACATTCT